AGATGTTTAAATAGATTTTAAAGCTTATTTTGGATACTCTCCCTTTTAACAAACAGCATGAGAATTTGAATTAAAAACACTGTACATATTTAAAATTCTTAGGAAATGAAAATGTCTTCTAGCTAAATCTTGTCTGTTAGCTCTTTAATTGCTCTCATCATCCCCTTCTTGTATCAGGATTACTGATACAGTTTCTAATTCCTTCCCTCACCTTTCTCCTGCAGTACATTCTGCACATATTGTTAGGCCTTTTGTCATCATGTCATTTAGCCTGCCCAAGTGTCTATGGTGGCTCTTAAAATACCTACAAATAAAAAACCAGATTATTCAGCTGATTTTTAGTACTCTCTATAGTTGACTACAAGCTGCATTTCTGACTTGGTTGCTCAGCAAAACTCATTGTGCATGATGCTCTCTGAATAGGCCATTGTCTTCTTTCAATCTATACCTTTCTGCTGATGTGTCTTTGCCTGAATGCCTGGCCTGGCTCTCTATCAAGGTAGGCCCTATGCATTCTTCAAGAACTAACTGGAGTCCTCTTTATTCCAGATTTTCTTGCAGACTCCATCACCTATTTCTTTTCCCTCATCTCTCAGTGTTAAAGATTTATTGTCTCTAACATTCAGTTAAGCACTTAAATGTTCTTTTCAGTGTTCTGTGGCTCCTTAATTAGACTGTAAGCTCATAAGAGCAGGGACCAGTCAGCCTTTATAACCTTTATGGTGCCTAGTGCTGTGGTAAGCATATCTTAGGTACTTGAATAAACATTTCTGTATGAACTGATACACACATACAATGTGTCAAAGCCACCTTATTCTTAAAACATTAATTCCAGTAGAAAATGGCTTGGAGATAGAGTAGGGTTTTACTTGATTTAAAGGGGTTTGCAAAAATTCCATGAATAGGGCCAGGGATTTAGCTCAGTAGTTCCTCTGCCTACTTTGTAAGTGCAAGGTCCCGAGTTGGATCCCCAGTACAAAAAAAAAAAAATTGACTGGACATCTTGTGTTCCAGATGATAACTGCAAGAGTTTTCTTTACTTTTGTTAACTAAGAAGGCTTCTTTTATTCAAAAAGGAAACTCAGATTTATTGATTTCCTATTATATGTCAAGCACTGTTTCATTTAATGTTTCTAGCAAATCATAATACAAAAGCACAAACAGGCTCAAATAATTTAATTCCAAGATTATAGACCTGTTAACTGTTCATGCTACCTAAGGCCATGACTCTCTCAAGTGGAATGTGGTAGCATAATCTGGCCACCAGAGGGCAAAAGTGGGCTACCTAAAGGAGACAGTTTAGCCAACTGAAGAACCCTTAGGAGCAAGCCGCTTGTAATTTCTCTATAGTAGAGACTGAGAGAGAAGACAAGGAAACCGGGAAAAGACATAGGATATAAGACTTATTCAAACAACTACCTAGAACTAACAGCCTGACCATCTAATCTACCTCAATACATGTCTTTTCATTAATGACTTTTTCCAACCTACTAATATCATAGGCCACATAATTGAGTCTGGACAGATAGATATGCTCGGAAATGAGACAGTGCTAGAAAAACAATTATCCACCAAACATATCCATGTTTGCAATAATAATTTATTGGATCTTATACTATAGCCACTGCTGGCCATAGGAGCTCTAAGGATGAAATACATGGCCCAACCCTCAGAAAGCTCAGTCAGTAGAGATAAATGAGGAGGCAAAATAAGAGGTGAAGTTCATATTGGTGAATATTGGTGGGCTATATAGGATTACAAGGTTGGAACCAAAAGGAGCCCCTGAATGAGAGAAGAATTCTGTAGGAAATGTTGCCAAGTGCAAAGGACATCTGATAAATATTTGGAAGGACTAGAGAGAAAGGTGAGGCTGGGAGGCAACTCCTGGCAGAATGGCATAAAGGCCCGGAGTATTTAATAACTGACCCATTTGGGAACGCTTAAGGTCAGTAGTTGGAATGTCAAGCAAAGGTCAGTCACATAGCAGGAAAATAGGCACAGTTTTTACGGTCTTGTTGGCTAGATGAATAATTTTGACTCCATCCTGAAAACACTGGAGAACTACTGACAAGTAGCAGGAGTCAAGATTTTTAGTAAAACAATTGATAACTTGTGTAAAGGCTACATTGAAAAGCATGTAAAGTAGCTAGAATGTGGCGTAGTCCCGCAGAGAAATAATGAAAATTGAGGGCAGGAATGAGATATTGAATCTGATAGACACAAAGTAGATGGATTTGGTATGGAAGTTGATCAGGCAGATTCTAAGTTCCCAGGTTTTAGCTTAAGTGGTTGGATCATGCTATGATCAAAATAGTGGTAAAGCCCATGTCTAGTGGTAAAGCCCATGTTTACCATACACAATGTCCTGGGTGGGCCAGGGATTTAGCTCAGTGGTTCTGGCGCCTGCCGTGAAAGCGCAAGGTCTGAGTTTGATCCCCAGTACCAAAAACAAACAAACAAAAACAATGTCCTGGGTTCAATCCCCAGCACCACACACACACACACAGAAGGGAAGATAAGTTTTCAAAACATGTTTTATATGAGATGTCTGGGCATCCAAGTTGTTAAAAACAGCTCTGGAGATTTATGTATAGCAGATGCTGGCAGGTGTACTAGAAAAAAGAAATCTTTTTTAGCTGCTGGTAGCACAGAGAGTAAGGTAATTAGTCACATATGTAAAGTAGGGTGTAGTGGTACATCCCTATAATCCTAGCACTTGGGAGGCTGAGGCAAGAGGACTGAGTGCAAGGTCAGCCTGATAGTTGTGGGTGTAATTAAACAGAGTTTACAATGCAAGGTGTGTTCAAGATATGGGGGGGGGTGTTATGAACTAACCATTTTAATATAATTGTGCGCATACCTGCATGTGTATTTCTCCAAGAGCCATACTTTCATCAGCTAGATTTGAAACTAAGAATTTAAACAGCTGTTCTAAATGAAGAGTCCAAAGACATAAACATTGAAAGGGCAGATGAGGAAGCAAAGTGTTCCCAGTTGGCTGAAGGATATGCTAGAGAATGACTCTGTAAGTGCAATTCCCAGGGCTTAAGATGCTATGTGCTAGCCAGGCGTGGTGGCACATACCTGTGGAAGTTTAAACCCAACCTGGGCTATTTAGTGAGATCCTGTCTCAAAATTAAAAAATAAAAAAGGGCTGGGATATAGCTCAGTCCAAGGTCCATGGGTTCAGTCCCCTGTAAAGTACATATATACATACTACATGCATAAATACCAGGTGCTTGTGCAGGCAGGGAGGGTACACAGTGTTAAACACAATTCAGTCTAACTTCTGTTGGGTGGGAGTAGAATTGGGGCAGAATGCCCAAGTTACTGTGAGAGGACTAAATCCTGTCCTGAGCCCCATGCCCAGGATCTTTTTTCAAGCAGAGAGGCATAAAGGAGAGTACCTCCCAGGGAGAGGGCAGTGGTACAGATTTTTTTATTCATTCATTTTATTGGTACATTTTAGGTATACACTATGCTGACATTCATTACTGGGAAGTTGTACCTTTACATAATATATCTTGGTTCTTATTTTTTCCTTCCCCTGCCCTCCCTTCAACCCCTCCACCCCTCCCTATTTACAAAGACTTTGTTTCCATTTTTTCCTTTTCTCATATTTATTCCTTTCCCCTACCCCTCACTTCCCCCTCCCTTTGACCTTTTCTTCCTATTTCACAGTCCATTATACATTTTGATCTTTATTTACACTTTCAGTTTCTCACAACAGAGAAACTATTCAGTATTTACATGTGTGTCCTGTCACTGGTCATTCGAGAGATGCAAATGAAAACAACACTGAGATTCCACCTCACTCCAGAAAGAATGGCTGCTATCATGAAATCAACCAATAACAAATGCTGGCAAGGCTGTGGGGAAAGAGGAAACCTGCTCCACTGCTGGTGGGAGTGTCGACTGGTGCAAGCACTGTGGAAATCAGTATGGAGATACCTCAAAGAACTAGGACTGGAAGTCCCATTTGACCCAGCTATTCCCCTGCTGGGTATCTTCCCCAAAGAATTAAAAGAATCATACCACAGTGATATATGTGCACCCATGCTCATAGTGGCAGTTTGTAATAAAGAAAATGTGGTGGGTTTTTTAAAATATATATAAAATGGAGTACTACTTGGCCATAAAGAATGAGAAACTAGGGCCGGGGATTTAGCTCAGTGGTTCTGCTGCCTGTCCCACAAGTGCAAGGACCTGAGTTCGATCCCTGGTACCAAAAGAAAAAGAATGAGAAACTAGATCCATTTACAGCTAAATGGATGCACATTAAGGCCACACCCTTATGTGAAATAAATAGGGTACAGATTATTCTTCACGAAATGTGCTTCAGCTAGATACGTGGCTCTCAAATCTCCCACTTAGTCATCATAAGGTGTTAGCCTTAGTTCACTGCTGAGAAAAAAGGGCTCAAAGGTAAATTGCCTGGGTCGGGGATTTAGCTCAGTGGTTCCACTGCCTGCCTCGCAAGTGCAAGGACCTGAGTTCAATCCCTGGTACCAAAAAAAAAAAAGAACCATCAACAAAACTGACGTATTAAAAAAAAAAAAAAAAAGGTAAATTGCCCACGTTCAGAATTAGGTCGGTTGTAAAACATGAGCCAGATTTAGGTTTTGTGATTCTACCCTGATATAAAATAGAAATCACGCAATATAAGAACTGGAAGGGGCCCTTGAGCAGTCTAGTTTCCTCCCCGCCCCCCTTTTTTTTGGTACCAGGGATCGAACTTGGGACTTTGTGCTTGCAAGGCAGGCGGCAGAACCACTGAGCTAAATCCCCAGCTCCCTTCCTTCTTCACTGATGGAAATACTGAGTACCCAAAGGAAAAGACCTGGGTTTCTTTATATCTTTCTATGGTGACAAATACCTTTGTTATGGTTGAGAAAAATGAATGAATCACTCTCCAAACGTAAAGAGATATTTTAAAACTCATGGCGCCTGCATATGTTTCTTAGAATCTCCCTTCCACTAAGATAATTTAGACACAGTAATATTTTATTAGAGTAACAATTTATTAGCAGAAAGTATGATCTCAACAAACATATAGGCTCTTACATTATAGGCGAAACAAACATATGCATCCAGAAAAAATGATCTATTGTACAGTAATGCTTCAACAACTCATCCTTGTCCTGTAATGTAGTCAAGCAATGATTTATGAATAACATAGAGGCACTTACTTTAAGGCAAGAGCTAGATTTCAAGTATCTTACTTTAGGGATACAGTACAGAGAACAGGGAAGAGAACCTCCCCCAAATAAGTTTATTAAAGCTTCAGATAAAAACTTGCTAGGCTAGGCTGCTTATGGACAGACTTAACAGAAGTATCTTTAATAAAGGTATTTGTTGGGCCGGGGATTTAGCTCAGTGGTTTTGCTGCCTGCTGCACAAGCGCAAGGACCCGAGTTCGATCGCCGGTACCAAAAAAAAAAAAAAAAAGGTATTTGTTGTCCTTTATTATACAATCTTCAGAATTCAGTATTATTCTTCCTATTTTATACCACTAAGTTAAAAAAAAAAATACACACCGAAGAATCTACTAATTTACTATAATGCTTTTTCTCTAATGTATTTAACAATGTTTAAAATTTAAGCTGTTAAGTAAAAATTTTTTAAAAGTCCTTATCAGGATAAAAATTACCTTATAAAAATAAATCTTCCTCATTCCTACATTTAAACTCACCATTCCTAAGTTGCTAATTTTTCTAAAAAAAACCTTAAAAAATTAATGTATGGTATTTCAATAGTATTTTAATACATAGGCTATAAATAACAAAGAAGCTGGTACTGTGTATTATTTTGTACTATTCATTATAATTTTCATTCTTATAATTAGCACCTAACTTTGATTCATGATTATCTAAAAACATTTTACTAAAAAAGGGGGGGATTAGTTCAGAGCCTAACAGTTTTCTAGATCCCATTTCATCCTTTTTTCAGTTTTTAAGCTGTTTTAAATAAGGCATTACTAGAATAAATCAAAATTTGGGTGGGGGAAACCACTAACAACGGAAAAGTTACACAAAATCTAAATCCTGTCAATTGGATTTTTGTCACTGTGTTGTGGAACTTTTCTTTCCCTGAATAGACCAGGAGCATCTCTGCGTCTTGCTCAGCTTTCAACCAGGCCTCAGCTCAGTGCTTTCCACAAAGCAGCTCCTTCAGGGCCCCAGCATATTATATATTTGGCACTATAGTACCAGCACCTGGCCCGGCGTCCCTGACTCCTGGAAGAGTCCTCAGAAATATATGAGATAACATCTACCTTGATGCAAAGAACCTACAGTTCTAGTAACAGGAAAACATCAAGGGTCACAGAGCTGGAGTTTATCAGTGTAACTCAGAGACTCAATTTAAATTCCCAAGAAATGCATTGCATCCCCTTTCTTACTTTTATATGAAGATCAGGTCTAACTCTGTCAATGTGTTCTTAAATGACAAATTACTAAGAGAACAACCCTGGAGAGAATTGCTGATCTTGTTAAAATGTAGTCATTAGCATTAGAATAGTCTAATGAACACACCTAACACCCCCATACGTTTTTAAAATTCACCATTTACCATTTTATAAATTTAATGACCAATTTTGACATCAATGTCTCCTATTACTTAAAAGCTAAGTCAGACTTTGTCAAAAATCATACCTTGTTTTCCTTTGGTCTTACTTAGAAAAGATCAATTTAGATTAAGGAAGTCCCATGGCTCCAAAGCAGGCCAACTCAGGCTTTTGCCACAACCTGACCAAGTGCTTCTCAGCTTTCAGCTTTGGTGAGTCTGTGATTTTCCCCTTCTAGAAAGAGAAACTCGCTCTCAGAGAATTGCTTCCTAATGCGATCTTACTGTGGTGGAGCCAGGAATTGGTTCCTATTTATCTGGATCCCTTTCTTCTTTCCTTTCACTGGCCAGATAGTCTTTACAATGCTCTATTCCTTTTACTCTTCTACAATGTTCTCCTTTCACACACCTAACTGCACTGGCACATTCCACTCCTCTGGTTGTAACAAATTTAAAAATAAAGTTATAAGAGCTTTAACTACCAAGAGAGTACACACTGTATTTCAATTAAATGAAAACCATTTTAAGATATTCAGAATTCTGTATATTTGTCAATAAGTAATGAGAAAATGCTTCATTTCGACTCTCACCTTCAGAGTAAGCAAGATGTTTTTGGATCAATATAGTTTAAAGTATCAAGAAAGCAAATAAAAACATTGCTTTTGGTGGTGGCAGTGAATCTGGCTTTAAAAGTTTGATTCCTTTAAATTATCAGCAATCAAAAAATTTTAAAAGCTAAGTGTGATGGCATATACCTGAGATACCAAGAAATGCACTACATCCCCAGCTACTTGGTAGGCTAAGGCAGATTCACAAGTTTGAAGCCAGCCTGGGCAACTCTGTGGGGCCCTGTCAAAAAAAATTAAACAAGGACTGAGGATGTAGCTCAGTAATAGAGGGCTCACCTAGCATGTGCAAGGCACTGGGTTCAATGCCTATTACCACACACACACACACAAATGTGCAAATACAGGCAGAATGCAATTGAAGTACAGAATAAAATGTAAATTTTGGGGGGGGGGTACTGGGGATCGAACTCGGGACCTTGCGCTTGTGAGGCAGGCGGTAAAATGTAAATTCTAATGAAACTTTAAAATGTTTTTCCAAGCCAGGCTTGGTGGTGCACGCTGGTAATCCCAGCATTCAGGAGGCTAATGCAGGAGGAGTGCCTCGAGTTTAAGGCCAGGCTGGAATATATAGTAAGTTCAAGGCCAGCCTGAACTACAAAGCAAAACCCTGTTAAAAAAAAAAAAAAAAGTTTTTACAGATGGCTACTAAAAGCAGAACCTCATTTGAGTGGGATAGGCACAAACCAGAACATAATTCAAGAAATTTTCTTACTGCACACATAAAGCTCCAGAACTGTTTATATCCACATGTGGACTGAAATATCAAGTAAAGGGCAAATCTTGATATCCATCCTTCTAAGAGATTTTTCAAATACTGACTGGGCTGAAATTCTTTTGCTATGCTGATGTTGGAAAAACTATAGAGTTGTCTTAAACATGTACTGATTACTCTACCAGAGTTATTAGACATTTATAATAGTCTCAACTCAAACCTGGCTTAGGGAAAAGGAATGAAAAACAAACAAGATGGGCCAGGGATTTAGCTTAGTGGTGCTGCCGCCTGCCTCCCAAGTGGAAGGTCCCGAGTTCGATCCCCAGTAGCAAAAAAAGAAAAACAACCAAAATACCGTAGTTTTATAACTAATATTCCTAAGACTCAACAGAAATGGCAAACATTAGGAACAAACTAAAAAGCACAAATATAAGCATCATTGACATTTTTGAAATTCCAAAATTCTAGACCTAATAAGAGGATGTCAAAATTCAGGAGAATATTGTATATAATCATAACATTAATCACCTTAGAAGACAGTAACATAGAAACTGCTTTGTTGGAATAATAGGTATTTTCCATGTAAGTAAATGGGGGAGATCTACCAATAGAATAGCAACACTGGCAGTTTAGAGAGCTAACAAAAGGTATATATACATATATCTTAAATATGTACATATGTACTATACCCAACATATAGGGGTTATTAGAAACACTTAAAATTGCTTACAATATAAGAACAGGTTTAAAAAATGAGTTTGCACTTTGGCAATCATTATCTTGTTTAAAAGACCTGGCTAGATGTTTTAATCTCATATAAATTAGTTCCTTATTCTTTGGAGAACATGTCTTTTTTTGCCTGCCAAAGTCTAAACACAGAACTGTAAGTGTTCAATGTCAGATATTCTTGCTTTTCCAAAGAAACAACCCCTCATTTCACAACCTGTGGCCAACTACCATAAATACTCCCACAGAACTTGGATTTTATGAATATCATATTTATGCTTCTAAATCTTAATAGGAGGAGGAAAAGTCCAAACATATGCGCTAAAACAAGGTGGTAATTAAGTTTGGGAGCTACTTTACAACTCAATTCACTAGTTATTACATCCCAAGAGTACTTCATAGATGCATGAAAGCTTGAAATCACATTTCTTCTTTTTGATTCTGTCCTACTATGAGCTTTGCTGCATTTGAGAATATAAAAAGGCCATAACCTTCCAAGGAAGGAAAATTTCAAGTGTGCAACATTTTCCACTGTGGAAATGGAAAATATTGCACATTTGAAATTTTAACCTACTGATGAGACATTCTTCATCTACTTTTTCAATCACTGGAAAGACTCAGACCATTGAGAACACATGTTTCTTTCTGGTTTTGAGATTCTACTGCAAAAGCCACTGCTTCATACATGCTATAGAAGAGAAGGTTTTGTTCTTCTTTTCTGCAATACTGTCCCTTGGTCAGGGAATCCCTCACAGAGGGATTGCATTGAGCCAGCAGAAACTGAATCCCAATGGCTTCATAATCTCTGCGAACTTCTTTCAGTGTATGGATCCCTGCTGTATCTAAAAATTGTATTGCACTGCAGTCAATCACTACAGTATGCAGCTCCAAAGGATCATGGGAAAGTTGCACTGAAAACTCTTCCTGGATTCCACTGAGAATCACTCTTTGCTCTTTGAGCATTCTTCTGGCTGCCTTCTTCTGAGCAGCCTTTACCAAGACTGGGTTTAGAGTTTTTTTATATAAAGCAGATTTAAAGCATTCTTTGTTTATGTAGTAGAGAGGTGCTATGAAGCGGACAATCTTGATGCCTGGCTTGGTCTGAAGGTTCTTGTAAGCAGACAAGGATTCAAAGATTTCAGACTCTTCCACCAAGCCAAGCAATGAAACCTTTGGCTTCTGAGTGCGGAGGATAACACAAAACATAGAAAAACAAACCCCAATAAGCAGGCCTATTTCAGTGCTTATCAGAGCAGAGGACAGCATGGTAACAAACCAGATAACTGTATCCATTCTGCTAACCCTCCACATATTGGGCAGATCTCTAAATTTACAAAGGGCTCCCCGGAGATTTACAATAGTGATCACACCAAGGACACATTTCTGTAGGGAATAGAATAAAGGAGCTATTACTAGGAGAACCAACAAAAGAACCAGGGCTGTCATCACAGCGGAAACCTGAGTCTGACAACCTGTTGATTCTTTAACCAGTGTCTTTGCAAGAGCTGCACTAGTAGTAATGCAATGGAAGAAGGAAGGGACGATATTGCAAAAGCCAATGGCATACATCTCCTGATTTGCTTTGACTGTGTAGCCATGTTTCTTGGCAAACATCTCAGAAAGTGATACAGTGATAGCAAAGCCAATGAAAGAAATAGCTATTGCATCCACAGCCACATTAGGCACTAGGCTCCAGTCTGGTGCTTTGGGTGGCAAAAACCCAGTGGGTATGTGTCCAGCAACACTGGAATTGTAATTCTCCTTTAGTTTTCCAAAATGAGAGGCCAATGTGGCTGCCACAACAACAATAAGTTCAATAGGAATTGGTGCCTTGAGCTTGGATTTGAAGTGCTCATTGAGTTCTTTGGCTGGCAAAAGGACCAAAAGACACAAAAGGCTAGTGATGAGATCACAGAGTTTGGTCTTATGGATGTTTTGGAAGATATGTATCCAGGTAGTGATGAGTGAGCCCACACCATTACTCCGTGGAAGGCTGAGCCCAAGGAGATACTTAGCCTGAGATGTGAGAATAGTGAAGGAGGCACCAGTGACAAATCCACTCAGCAAGGCATCTGAGAGGTAGACAGAAACAAAGCCCACTTGAAAGAAGCCCATTACTACCTGGAAGAGAAGATATACAAGTGTTAAATATCAATGTCAGAGATAGAATAAATGCAGTAAAAAAAAAATTAATCTTTTCATTTTGTAAAGAGAGAAAACTTGCTCAAGGTCAGTTTCCACTAGCCCAGCTGAAACTAGAACTGAGGATTTCTGCCTTCTCAAGCAATGTTTCTTATACTTGACAAGGTCCAGACTTCTTTCAAAAAGAAAATTCTCAAAGATCCACATGAAAACAAAAACTCAAATTATAAAAATTCTAATTAAGAATATATGTATGTATATCATGGTTTTTTTTTCCCCCGTAAAGTGGAAGTCAATGCTGTGAAAATAAAGTGTTAACTGATGAGAAAAAGTAAGATTCACATCATCTTTTTTTTTTTTTAAAACTGGGGCCTAAACCCAGTGTCTGCACAGAGCTACATCCCCAGCCCTTTTAATCTATTTATTCAGAGACAGGCGCTTGCTAAGTTGACCAGGCTGGGCTTGAACTTGTGGTTCTCCTGCCTCAGCCTCCCAGAGTGCTGAGATTACAGGCATGTGCCATGATGCCTGGCTCTCTTCCCTTGTTGGATCCAAATGACTGCAATAAAGAAGAGATTTAATGTTGGTGCTGGATGTTAAAAGGCAGGGGCATGATGCTAATATCATATCATTGGATTCTACAGTAGAATTAAGAATTTCATTTCCAATACTTTCTCCTGGCTGATAATATAGAATAGTAGCTCTTCACCTTTTCCATTTCTAACAATCTAAGAGAACTACTATCTTTCGTTAAGAGTTACTCACTAGAGCAGTGATTCTAAAGGAAAGTAGGGACATCTATCACTTGAAAACCTTCTGTACTACTCTCCTTACCCCCGGCTGCCCCTTATTCTGTTACCCTCTTGCCTTACTTATGCTGACTGCCAATGTCAGCCAATAACCAATCACACATAATGTAAAATTAAGGTGTTGTACTGGATGATCTCAGGATCTTTTTTTTTTTTTTTTTTGGTACCAGGAATTGAACTCGGGTCCTTGCACTTCCACAGCAGGGGGCGGAACCACTGAGCTAAATCCCTGGCCCTCAGGACCAATTTTGGTCTAAATTTTTATAACAAAATAATTAAAATCTAGCTGTCTGACATTCTTTGGTTAAGAGGCAGCCTAGGAAAATCAGCCTATCTTACCTGTAGAGCCCAAAGTTTGAATTCTGGCACTACCATTCATATATCCTGAGCACTCAGTAAGGGATATCTTTAATTATTATGATCTCTGACAGATCTGAGATTTCATGTATAGTGACTACTTTTGTTTGAAATAACCAATTGTTCCAACATTTCTTACCTGATAAACTCCAGCCATAAAGGTTACAGTGCTTCCAATTTTAATTGCATAGTGACTTCTGTCACATAAACTTTCTGATGTGTGGTTTATTAATGAGCTCCCATTTGAAACCATTCCTAAAGGAGTAATATGGGCAGTGTCACAGCCAGCTTTGTGTAGTTCTCGGTCAACTACTTCACCAATCATAAGGCACAGTACTCCAAAAATGCCCACAGAGATGTGACGAGAAGTACCAAATAAAAAATAAATGATGCTGGCAAAAAAAGATGTGTACAGACCATAGATGGGATCTTGGCCAGCCAAGAGGGAATAAGCAATGGACTGGGGAACCAATAAGATCCCTACAATCAAACCAGACATCACATCTCCTAAAATGTTTTTCTTTAGATCATATTTTGGGAGCCACTGTAAAACAGGAAAGAAACCAAAAAACATATTTTTGGCTTTAGTTGAGCTACATTGGCAACTCTTCTGGAGCTTTTTGATGACAAACTGCTTAATGTTAGTATTTGATTTCTCTTGAGGCTCCAAATAGATCCTAGGACAAAGTCTGCATTGATCATGGGTTTCAACTTGCTGAAAGTCAGTACTTGATTCCTTTTGTAGCTCCAGAGAGACTCCAGATGCAAGACTGTCATTTCCTTCAGCTGAGTCCCTTGGCGAAAGATCAGGTTGCTCTTTACTTTCTGAAGACATTTCTTGAGACAGATGATTCCACTTCCTACCCCAGAGAAAATATCAGTGTTAACTAATAAAGTAATTCTCAGTCCCTGATATAGTAAGTCCTACTTTTTACACATGGTAGTTAAGAGGTTTTAGCATAGATAATTTATATCTACCTTCCTTAATTAAACCTTACTTGTCCTGGTCAGGGAGGGAAAAAAAGACCAAAAATAGACCATAAACAGCTAAGTCAAAACAAGTAATATATTAGTGCAGGACTTTGCGAGGATAAAAGCACTAAAGATTCTTCTCCATATCTGCCTGCTCCCTCTGCAGTTTTTATTTCCTCCAGAAAAGGTATCAGGGTGACTTGTCTCCTCCTTTCCATGTTACAAATGGTCTTCTTCCCAGGTTTTTCACTTCTCAGCTATACTGCAAAATAAGGTCTAGTTACAAACTTTCACCCCTACCTTCCTGAAAAAGCAAAATGGTCCTTTGTGTATGTATCTGTCCCTTTTAAAACAACCCACTAACTGTTGAGAATATATAGGAGAAAAAAATATATGATAAAGATTAATGTTTCTGGCAATAAAAAGAAAACTAGGGTGGTATGCATTTGGATCTTTGAACAGTAGTTCCGTGCTCAGTAGGAAAGAGGAGAGAGAAGCCAGTAAGAGGACAGTGAAACTTAATAAATATCAAAAGCATGGGGTGGGTTGACAGGGCAGGTGCTGTAGAAGGCTTTGGTCTATCCCACTGGGTTCATATAGTCATCTGCTCTGGGGGGAGGGTTCATGTTTATACAGAGACCCTTGACTACTCTGAGTACACATTCTGAAATGCTGACTGAATAGAGGAATAATATTGCCATGAAATTCCACTTGGAAGGTATAGTAACTCTAAGATTGCAAAGAACAAATGAAAAAACAATTTGTGATTGGCCAGATAAAGATGACACATGAAGAATGCAGTAAGTTTTCTGTTTTCGAACCAATAGAAAAATGGACCCTTGTGAGATACTAGAAACCTAACATTACCAAGGTGTCATAATCCAGAAACTCAGAAGCTATTTAAAAACACAAGATATATTGAAGTAATCCACCTTTATTTTATTTAGGTTGAACATGGGTAAAATAAGTTATTTTGATAGTCTTGTGAAGTAAAGAAGGAAAAAAAAAAGAATAGATTTTAGATGATTACTGACCTTGAGCAAGTCAATCAGACTAGTAGATGTACCCAGCAGTTATTTCTTCAATGAAGTCTAGAACTGTTTTCTTATTTCCTGCTTTCTTGAGCTAGCTTGAAAACATTTCCTATGTCCTATTTTGGATCAGCTCTTGGAAATTTCTAAAACAAAAGGCTTTTTTCAAACCTAAGAAAAAGAAACATAAGAAAAAACTATCCAAATCTAAATTTTCCTTCTACTGATGCAAGATGGAAAAAGATAAAAACTAATATTAAAAAAGTACAACAGGCAGATGCTAAAAATGAAAAACACAAATAATAGAGATGAGGAATGCCTTTATCAGGTTCATCAGTAAATTTGATAGAGCCAAAGAAACAACAAACTCAAAGACAGGTTAATAGAAATCACCTGAACTAAAGCAAAACAGCATTTAAGTAACAAAATCAAAAACCCAAAACCAACAATGTAACAGAACATCTAAGAGCTATGAGACATAGAGCTTTTAGAAGGAGAAAATGGGCAGAAGAAATGGCCAAGAATTTTCCAAGATTATTCAGACATTAAACTACAAATATATCAATAATCTAAAGGGCCTGGGATTTAGCCCAGTGGTTTTGCCACCTGCTGTGCAGGCCCAAGGACCCGAGTTCAATCCCCGGTACCAAAAAAAAAAAAAAAAAAGAATCTAAGAGTACCAAGAATACAAAAATAAAATTAAAAAAACCCTCCTACACCTACACATATCACATTCAAGCTGATAAAAACCACAAACACGAAAACCCTAAAGACAAAGAAAAAACAGACATTACTTACAAGGGAACAAAAGAATTACCATGGAGGCTAGAAGATGACAGAGTGATATCTTTAACACAGAGGGCCTGGGATTTAGCTCAGTGGTTCCGCCACCTGCCTCGCAAAAGCAAGGTCCCAAGTTCAATCTCCGTACCAAAAAAAAAAACAAACAACTTTTAAAAGGAGAAAAAAAAGATAAGGAAATAAACTTTCTCAAACATTGAAAGAATGTATTACCAACTGATCAGTGATCGCCTCTATCCCTTACACACACACCACACACACACAAAGATTCCTTAGTCAAAAAGAATATATCAGTCAGAAACTCAGACACAAAGAAAGTCCTGGAAATGGAACAATGATAATAAAATAAAATTCAATTTTTCAATAAAAAATTGATAATTCCTTTGAATGATAATTATCTATACCAAAAATAGAAATGCATTAATATGGCAATAACATCACAAAGAATGGGAAAAAGAATCGTGAATTGTAAGGCCTTACATGAGATGTAAAGAAGTATAATAATATTTGAAGGTAGACTCTGATTAGTTAAAGATGTATATTACAAACCAAGGCTAACGACTAAATATTTTTAAAGGTATGATAAATATTAAGTCAGTATGGAGCTAGGGCTGGGGATATAGCTCAGAGGAAGAGTGCTTGCCTAGCATGTACAAGGCCATGCGTTTGATCCCCAGCACTGCAAAAATTAAAAAATAGTGGCGATAAAAAGGAATCATAAAAATTCTCAATCCAAGAAACAGTAGAAAAAGAAAAAGCAAAAAACAGATAAAACTGAAAACAGCAAGAAGGTAGAGTTTAATTCAAACATATAAATAATCACATTAAAAATGAATGGTGTAAACATGACAATTAAAAGACATACTATCAGAATGAACGTAACCAGGTACTGGGGAAAGGAGGAGTTACTGGTTACAGAATTTCTATTTCAAGTTTCAGAGATACATAATAGTGACAGTTAAATAATATTATGAATATATTTAATGCCACTGAATTACACACTTCAAAATGGTTAAAATGACCAATTTTATGTTACACTATTTTAACACACACAGACACACATGCAGCCAAAAGGGAAGAAACCAGTGTATACCATCTTAAGACTCTTAGACATTAAAGGGCATAATATTACTTGACAGTACTCAGTGTTAAAGTTGCATACTACAAGCCCTAGAATAACCCCACTAATGACAAAGGATTATGGCTAATAAACAAATGAGATACAATGGAATCACAGAAAATACTAAATAATAAAGACAAGAGAAGGGAAAATAAATAGTAACCATATCAGTAATAGCCATATCAACAATTACCTTAAACACAATGGTCTAAACATCCGCACAGAGATTGTCAGATTAGATTAAAAAGCAAGACCCAATTATATGCAGCCTATAAGAAACACACTTAAGTATAAAGACAATAGGATAAAAGTAAAAAGATGAGAAAAGATATACTTTGCTAACATGCACCAAAAGAAAGCTGGAGTGGCCATATTAGCATCAGATAAAGAAGATTTGAGGGAAAAGAGGCCAATTTTATAAATGATAATGGAGTCAATTCCTCAAGAAGACTTAACAATTACAATCCCAACTGTACACCTAATATCAGGATTCCAAAATAAATGAACCAAAAACAAGCAAGAATTACAAAGAGAAATAAAGATATCCATGATTAGCATCAGAGAACTCAATGGCCTTCCCTCAGTATTTATTGAAGAAAATCAGTAGGATTTACAAGATTTAAACACTATAGATCAACTCAGACAATATATATTAAAGATAAGACATTATACTCAATAATAGAAAAATACATTTTCTTCAAGTGCATATGAAACATTTATCAAGGGGAAACATAAATTCTCTGTAAAGTTAAAAGAAGCCAATTCATACATAATATTTTCTCTGACTTCAACAGAATTAAATTAGAAATCAACAGAAAAATATTGGAAACGCCCCCAAATAGTGAAACTGAGAAATAAATAACACATTTCTAAGTAAAACAGGCATCAAAAGACAAGTGAGTTTTATCTGTAATGGCCCAACTCAAAGGTTCAGCAAGTGACTAGGTAAACAAACTGTGCTATATTCTTACATGGAATATTACTTAGAAATACAAAGAACTATTGATATAACATTAATGAACTCAAAATAATTTTGCTGAGTGAAAGCCAGGGAAAAAAAGGAGTACATATTATATGATTCCATCTATAGAAAATGCAATCTAACCTATAATAACAGAAAGCAGATCAGTGGTTGTTTCAATAGAGGAGGTAGGGAGGGATGGAAGAAACTTCAGCCTCTCCACCTGTCTTGGTCCTTCTTCTAATCCTACATGGCCCATCTTAAATGCCATAGGATAAAGATTTTGAATTTCTTAGGATATGCTCCTCCAATATATTACATGTAACAATTTACCATGTAAGTTAATAAGTCTCAAACTACAGCACATTTATAGGCAGCTGCCAAATCATCCTTGCTTCTATATAACCCAGCACTAACCCGATGCCTCACACTTGGTATGTATGGGTACATACCATACCATACTGTACCTTGTTTGGCACCTAGTTTATCCTGGAAACAAAGTTTCAAGTAAATATAATAAAGACAAGAAAATATCCTTATTTTCCAGTTATCACAAATAATTAATGTTCCTGTATATCTGTAATGAACAAGAACCACAAGACTTACATCAGTTGTGTAAATATTATTACGTATTATTTCTAACATTAAACCCAAGAGGAAACGATGTGAAACCATGATCAGACAACTAAAAACCTCCTTGCACAGTAATTCACAGCTTTTGAAAAGATTTAATACACATCTCCCACTTGCCTCAATAAATCTGAGAAGAACAAATTACAAATTTCAGTTCTCTAGTATAAGACAAATCCAGGTTTAGTCAATTGCTCAACTGTTAAGCAACAGATTCTCAAACTCATCTTCCAATTTTCAAGTTCAGCTTTCTTTCTATAAATCCACATTGCCCCCAAATTTCTTTGTGAAGAGATTTTTACAAGCTACTTTAAAGCTCCAATCTGTGGCCAATTACTCAACTTGCTTCTGAATCTGTTATACATATATTTTGGGGGCGGGGGTACCAGGGATCGAACTCAGGACCTAGTACTTGCAAGGCAGGCAGTGGAACCACTGAGCTAATCCCTGGCCTCTTTTAGTTATATCAATAAGTGAAGGTAACACACTGCTTAAAGAAGGCTTGGTAAAAGTTGAAGATTAAAATTATGTTTCATATACAGGCATTGGTAATATTTTTCTTTCTTTTCTTTCTATTAGGAGTAACAACATAAATTTACTCCTATGCTACATTTTGGTTTTTTGTTTGTTTTTTGGCACCGGGGATCAAACTGGGGTCCTTGCGCTTACGGGGCAGGCAGTGGAACCACTGAGCTAAAACCCTGGCCTCTTATGCTACATTTTGGTTAGAACAATTAGCATTCCAGACAAGAGTTAAACCAAGCAAGCTCTTCTTGCACACTTTTTTCCCCCTCTGACTGGAATGCTCTTCCTCAACTATTTTTTTACTTGCTCCCTCTCTTCTTTAAGTTTTCTCAAAAAACTTACTAATTTCTTCCTAGATATACTATATAAAAATAGCACGTGTGCCTCATGGGCCCATCCTTGCCTTGCACTTATTCCTTTTGCCTTGCCTTACTTTTCTTTATGGCCCTTTTGCCATCATATTAACCCTTTAAATTGTCTGTCTTTCCCAGACAAATTGTCTGCTTTGTTTTTTTTGTTGTTGTTTTTGGTACCGGGGATCAAATTTGGGACCTTGCACTTTCCAAGCAGGTGGCGGCACCACTGAGCTAAATCCCCGGCCCTGCTTTGTTTTGTTTGAAGCTGTATCCCAAGTACTGTACCTTTTTTGTCACCTAGTTAAGTGTTTCACAAATATCTTTTGGGTGAACGGATGACAAGTTTTAACAGCTACACTATAACCAAGCTTATGCCAGGAAATTATAATTTGGCAAGCATTTCACTGAATTGTGATGTCTAGTCTCAAAACTTACTACTAGAAAATATATTTTAAGGATCACGAAGCCCGGAATATATTCATCTCTAGATCTTCCTCTAGGAGGCTACACATTGATTTAGCCATACTACACAATGATTTTTCAAATACAGACAGTGGTTAAAATGCAGATTCAGCTGGGCACAGTGGCCCATGCCTCTAATCCTAGCACCATGGGAGGCTGAGGCAGGGGATAGAAAGTTTAAGCCCAGCCTGGGCAACTTAGTGAAACTCTGTCTCAAAATAAAGAAATAAAAAAGGGCTATGGATGTAGCTCAGTGTGAAGGCTATGGGTTCAATCCCCAAAACAAACAAAAAAAGCAGCAGCCGGCTGTAAGACCTGCCCCTGCAAATTCAAGGATGAGATCCAAGCCTCTGCATCCTAGTGAGCACAGATGGGGCCCTACTTGGAGAACCAGTAGGTGTATTCCAAAGTCAGGCACATCTAATCTCTATTCAGACCCCAGCTACCACACTCAGCAGCTAGAAGGAACTGAGTGAAAACTTCAGCATCAACTTCTGACCTGTAAAATGGAGATAACATTACCAAGTAATTTGCAGGATTGTTGTAAGGCTAACACAAGTAAAGTTTCTAGCACATAACATGAAAAAAATGAAAGCTATGAAAGCTTTTTGGCTGTTTCTTTTTTTTCTTTTTTGGTACCCAGGATCGAATAGTCTGTTTCTTTCAATCCTTGAGGTTCCTGAAGAAAAAAAAAATGAACTCATTTCTTTTCCCAAAGCTTTGACTCTCCATTTCTTATGGATCCAATTTTCAAAATCATAAATTTCTATGTAACCCAATAATGTCATATTATTCTTATATTTTACATAAAGACCAATAAGGCAGGGGTAGAGGGTGTAACTCAGTTGTAGGGCACTTGCCAATGCCTTGGGTTCAATCTCCAGCATGGGGACAAAGGGCATGGGGGTAAAGAAGGAAAAACATGTTACTAGAATAGATGTCAGAAAGGAGTTGAAGTTCTGAATCCTAACTCACTGGTGATTCCCAATCTGTGCAAGGAAAGGGCCCAACTTGATAAGTCTATGAGTTTAGGAGAGCTGGGTGCCAAGTCCTAGCTCTCTGCAAACGGTTTGCTCTGTAATTTCTGGCAAGGAACTGGCCCTTTTTGTGTGTTCTGTGTCCCCACTTAACTGAAAGAATTAAGTGTCTGAAAGAAGTACAGATCCTGAGTTTGTACTTTGCCAGGTGTTTGCTTTTAATAATCAAGTTAACCAAGTGTTCTGTCCTCTCCGGGTCAGCTTCCCCATCTGTCCAAGGAGGTGGTGGCTCCAACCTCCAGGGTCCAGATCCTAGATATCTGGGTTCAAGACAGCTTAGGGAAGCCTCGGCCACAAGAACAGCTTGGGATCCGTGAGGTGAGAAGGTTTGGGGGTGAAGGCTGGGCAGCCTTCAGACACAAGGGCAGCCAGATCGCGAGGTGGGCGTGGCACTTTTTGCGCCTGGGACATCCCGGACCCAGGCCCACCTCCACCACCCAGCCACTACGCCCGCAGCTACAACTGGTCACAGCTTTCTCCCAACGCGCCCGGGACCAAGACCAGGATGACCCAAACGTGGGGCCCGCGGCCACGCAGAGGCCGGCACCGCTCTCCTCTCCCTTTTCTCACCTCTTGGGTACAGCCTACCCCGCGCGACTATTTCCGCAGCGCTTCCTCTGTGGTGAACAGACTGAAGGGACTCCGCGGGGCCGACAAAGGCAGCCCGCTGGGCCTCTCTTTAACTGTCTCGTCCCCTTTCCCGTCCATTTCCCGGCCCCCGCATCAGGCGGGGCCAGGCTACGCTGGGTGGACAAACCGACCTAAACGTGCGGGAAAACAATCCCTCTGCGAAAGCTCGCGGCTGTGGCAGTCACGTGGCCCAGCGGCGAGCGACGTGGCCGCCAGCCAATGATTCAGCACAGACCGGCAAGGGTTCCACCCCTTACCTTGTCCCTTTGCCACGATTGGCTGTCCTGGACAGAGGGGCCACGCGTCCGTTTAGGGTGGGTCCTCCCGGCCCAGCTGTGATTAATCCCTTGCCAAGTGAGTTGCTTACCAGTTTTAGACCTGGGCGGAAGAGTGTAGTGAAGATGAAGTATCAAGAAAGCGGGGGAAGCGTTCTGCGCAGAGCTGTAGAGTGCGTTTATGAGCTGCAAAAATTTTGTGGACCCTCACTGGCCTTTGTAGAGCGGTAGGTTGCCCTGGTAGAGCTCATTTTCCATCAAGACCTATTACCAGAAGGCGCTTAAAAAAAAAAAAAAAAAAGTAAATATAAAGATAAACATAAGCTGTAATTCCAGCCTTGTTTAAAACCCTCAGTGGCTTTTCATGATCTTCAAATAAAATCAAACCCACTCTGCACCCTCTTTCCGTTCCTCACCGCTCTCCCCTCATAGTAACCTGCCTGCCAAGCTAAACTCTGGTTGCTGCCATTTGGTTTCTTCTCCAAACAGAAGTATTCCAGGTCCTTTTTTTTTTTTTTTTGGTACCGGGGATCGAACTCGAGACCTTGCGTGCTTGCCAGGCAGGCGCCGGAACCATTGAGCTAAATCCCCATCCCTGCCATTTGGTTTCTTCTCATTCCTCACCACTCAACCTAAATTCCCCTCCTCTCAACCCTGCTCCACTGCTGGTGGGAGTGAGGACTGGTGCAACCACTGTGGAAATCAGTATGGAGATACCTCAAAAAGAACTAGGACTGGAAGTCCCATTTGACCCCGTTATTCCACTGCTAGGGATCTTCCCCAAAGAATTAAAAGAATCATACCTCAGTGATATATGTGCGCCCATGTTCATAGCAGCACAGTTTGTGATAGCTAAAACTTGGAAACAGCCCAAATGCCCATCAACTGGAGACTGGATAAAGAAAATGTGGTTTTTAAATAAAATGGAGTACTACTCAGCCATAAAAAATGAGAAATTAGAGACATTTATAGCTAAGTGGATGCACATTGAGGCGATACTCTTAAGTGAAATAAATAGGACACACATGTATAAATACCAAATAGTTTCTCTGGTGTGAGAAACTGAAAGTGTAAATAAGGACTAAATGTATAATAGGTAATGTGAAATAGGAAGAAAAGGGGCAAAGGGGAAGGAAGTGGGAGGGCTAGGGGAAAGGATAGAAGGGAATGGGATTAATATGAGAAAATGGAAAAATAGGAACAAAATCTTTGTAAATGGGGAGGAATGGAGAGGTTGAAGGGAGGGCTGGGCAAGGGTGAAAAATAAGAACCAAGAGAGATTATGTAAAGGTGCAAATTTCCAATGATGAATGTCATTATATTGTATACCTAAAATGTACCAATGATTAGAATGAATAATAGATAATGCAAAATAGGAAGAAAAGGTTCAAAGGGGTAGGGGTAGTGGGAGGGACAGGGGAAAGGAAAGAAGGGAAAGGAAAAATGATGAGAAATGGAAAAAATGGAAATAAAGTCTTTGTAAATAGGGAAGGGTGGAGGGGGTGAAGGGAGGGCTAGGAATGGGGAAAAAATAAGAACCAAGATGCATTATGTAAAGGTACAATTCCCAATGAGAAATGTAATTGTATTGTATACCTACAATGTACTAATAAAAGAATTTAACAACAACAACAAAAATAAATAAATAAATAAATAAATAAATAAATTCCCCTCCTCTCCTCTCTGCAAGGCTGCCCTTGACCATCCCATGTAAAGTAACCAGCCAGTCTCATCCAATCGTGGCGTCCTGGCTTAATTATCTGCCCTGAACTGGCCACTTTGATGGAGTGTGTTCATTCTTACCCTTGTTTGTAGCTTACGTGGACCCACTAGATGGAGCAAAAGAGACCCTGGGAAGGAAGCATGATTAACTTCCTTTCCTTCCCTTTCCAGTGAACCTCTTCACGAACAGTCATGTAAGGAATTCTCTTTCTTGGAGATGATTGATCTCCAAGTTTCTGTCACCTAGGACTTAGGGTTTCCAGTCACACACCATGTCAGGAATCAGAATGTTACAGGAATTAAAGTCAGGCTGCTTACCTGCCAATAAGCCAAGGTGTTGCTGCAAGGAAGGCAACTTTATTCAAAAAGCTGACTCAAGGACAAGAAAGGGACTACTAACACAAACTGCTTCATGCCTGAAAGCTGAGGGGGGCTTCTATAGGTGGTCCGTAGGTGTTTCTGTACTGGCCTGCACCTTCCTGCACCAGAAGTGCTAAATGATGCACATCCAATTGTGGTTACTCAGTTATGGTGTACATATTTTTCAATTTCTGTAGGGCTCATAAAAGATTCATCACCAGGCATGGTGGCTTGCACCTGTAATCCCAGCACTTGGGAGGATGAGGCAGGAGAATCACCACAAATTCCAGGCCAGCCTGGGCTACATAGTGAGTTCAAGGACAGCCTGAACTACATAGCGAGACCCTGTCTCAAAAGAAAAAAAAAAAATTCGTCATTTCTTTAGGTCAATCCTGCCACCAGTTGGCTACATCTTATACAATGGGCAAGTGGACATTTATTTAATCCTCACGGCAGCTTCAGAGGAGGTGCTATATTATGATTCTCCTTTCATATGTAAGAAAATGAGATGTTAGGTGAATTGACTAAGGTCCTACAGTTAATACGTCACAGCATGATTTTAATCCAATTACATGCAACTGCACAGCCTACTTTCTTGACCACCAATTCACTGTACTAATTAAATGTAAGAATCTATCTGGATCACTGCATACAGTAGATACCAATAAAAACTGATAAAATATAATGGCTAACATTTTATCCCATATATATTAACTTGCATTATAGATGCAGAAATTGAGGTTCAGGATATTATTACTAACCAAATAGCAGATGTTGAGGTGAGATGGAGATGGATTTCTAACTGGGACCTGTCAAATGTCTAAAGCTAAGAACACTGGGCTATGCCTCGGTGCTAGAGGAAGGTGCCAGAGATGAAGCTTTAGGTCAGCCATTGGTGTCTCTCCTGCCCATTCAATATCCCCAGCTGTTCATGTTGTGCTCCCACAACATTGGCAGGGACCCAATGCAGCTGGATTTTGCCATGCATATCTTACCTTCATTGACGCTGTAGTATCTCTCCAGCAATCTAAGAGGGGAAACAGATGATCAACCCTTTGCTTATGGAGAGCTGGCTAGTAATCTGCTTTTCTCTGATAACAGCCAGTCAGCAGCCTGCCATCCATACTCTTTGCCTCTCGTCTAAATCTGAGTATTTTCCCTCCTGTTGTTCTCAGGGTTCATAGGGGTGACCAGCAGCCTGAGACCCACATATTGTAGGCATTACAGTGTCCCAAACAGCTTTACCAAAGAGTAACTAATGATGTATTAACTTAGGGCATTGTAGGCCAGCCAAGGAGTAATTTTGGGCTAGGGATCACGTCAGGATAGATCTCCTCAGCACTTCTGGCCACCCATTCATTCTTCCCAGATGGGACAGGCCAGTTCCTCTAAGGCCTCACTGGACTTTGGACTGACTCCTACTGTATAATGGGCTATTCTGATTTGCTATCACTGCTACAGATGTTTTACTGTTTCTTCTTTTAAAATTCATCTCATTGGAAATAGGTAACACAAAATCAAGTAAATAAATTCAAAAGGTCAGCGAGGGGCTGGAATGTAGTTCAGTGATGGCCCTGGGCTTGATCCCCAGAATCAAATAATAATAATAAAACTATAACAAAGAGTTTACAGTGAGAGATAAACCTTTTCATGCTCTATCCAGTCTTATCCGAGGATACCTTTCTAGAGGCAAACATAGCACCCGTTTCCTGTTTTGCTTTCCTTGTTTATTCAATACCATCACTCTCAATTGCAACTGCACTTTAGAATCTCTTGGAGGAAAATTAAAAGATACCAGTGTTTGGTTTCTCACCCCCAGATATTATGACTTACTTGATATAGAGCGGGTTCAGGCTCTAATATTTTTTGAAGGCCCCTCAGGGACAGTCTAACTATACCTGGGATTGGCAAGCCTCTCTTCTATGGATATACAAAACTATATATGTATCTTTAAACAAAAGGGTCATATAGTAGTTAATGTTAAAAGGGGAACATATAGTATATACTAATCTGTACTTTTAAAAATGTACCTTAAGATTGTTTCATATCAGAGAATAGAAAACTTAATTTTGGCTATTTTTTTGCAAAGTAAATCACTGCTTAATGCTTAAAAAAATTTTTTTTAAAGTCTCTTTTGGTCAGGGATTTGGTAAGGGCCTCTCTAAGTGGTTTGAGCTTAAAGTCTCCTAGACCTGCAAGGTAACTTGAGAGAGTAGCTCAAGTTGGGATAGAAATAAGGACTGAAGCAGCTGATAGCCATCTGGACAGCTCTTTCCCTTCATAGTAGTCAAGGGACTCTCACACAATCCAGTCTCAGGGTAGTCTGTGCTGATATGGCAGCTGAAGGCCAGTGTCCCAGTAGGTAAAGGGTTGCTGTATCACCTTTATGATCTACCTTCAAAAGTCATACAACCTCTTTTCTATTGCAGTCTCTTAATTTAGAGTCATAAATGCCTGTTCACTTTCAAGGTGAAGGAAATAGACTTGAAGTTCCAATGGAAGAAATGTCACGTTGTATGAAGGGAAAATATTGTTGTGGCCATCTTTGGCCATAGTAGTTCCACAGTATTCCATTGTTTAGTTGTATTAATAAAATTATAGGAGGCCATTGTTTTGGACTAAGATTATCCTGCACTGGACCCCAACACACTAAACTAAAAATCAAAATGGAGTTGCTCATGCTAAAGTTCCGTACCATGCATGAAACTGACACTGAGTTGTTATCTGACCTTTTGAGAAGTCAGGAGCAGGGATATAGCTATATTTCACAAACAGATTCATTGTCATGACAATGAAGTTCCCTCTACTTTAGTCCTTATTTCCTTTAATTGTGTAATCCTTACAAAAACTAACCTGATATAATATGATATCAGCCAGTTATTTTCTTATTGTTCTGTCTCCCTGTTCCAATCTTAAAAGAAAAGTAACTGAAATGGCCAGTTCTCTTTTGTTATGTTTCTTTTTTCAGAACTTCTCTATTACACTAAACTTTGCTACTTAGCTCATCACAACATTTATTCTATTTTATGGAATAAAGTCTTGGCAATTCTAGAACTGAAAATAAAGCCCATTAAACCCTTCAAATTAAGTTGTTGGGCTTTTGTTCATTGAGAGGGACATTTATTTAATCATTAGTGGGCATTTATATTATTTCTATTCTTTTATTTTTTGAGGTGCTGAGGGTCAAACCCAGAGTCTCACACATTCTAGGTAAGCACTCTACCACTGAGCTACACCCCCAGTCCTATTCTTTTAGTATTACAAATAGTGTTTTGTTTGATTATAGGTATTTTCCTTTTGTTTCCTTTCCCCCAGCTCCCCTGGAGTGGGGGGTGTCCCTTCATGAGCATTTGTCTCACAAGTCTACTGTGTGGCAGGGCAGAGCAACAATCCTTATACTCAAGAAAGCAACCATTCCAGATCTTGCCCTTAGAGGGAAATCACTCCAGAGTTGGGGAGAAGGGAGGACCAAGTAGTAAGTGAGAAAGGAAATTTTTGCGAGCCTTCCTTAAGACAGAAAAAGACTTTGCAGGATCCTTGAGTGGAAAAGATCCTGGGCCTGGGCCTTCCCTGGAGTGGTGGGACAGCCTCCTACTTGGGTGGTTATTCATGCCCTGGAGAGGTAGAGCCTAGAAGTAGGAAATCCTAGCCATAGCAAGAACACTTGAGCCCTAGCTAAGAGCAGAACTGCTGGTTGATCAGGGGCCATTCTATCTTGGATAGGAGCTTATTTGTGGTAGCAGAGTGGACCAAAGGCCAGAGGGCTTTTATGGGGCTGTACTAAGTTAGACCAACAAGTCTTAACATGACTGTGGGGTGGGACATTGGTTATAATGATAATTGAGATTGAATATCCTGCCAGTACTGTGGGGTGGGAGCTTGGAGCATATAAAATTTGATTTGGAGAAAGATATATGACTCTTATACTAGCACAAATTACCCTTCTTACAAATATTTAGGTACAGAAAATTATTTGACATTTCATGGTGATCACAAGCCCCATTATTCCCAATCTGGTTTTTCAAAAACATGGGCTAAGAGCTGTGGGAGACGGTGACTCAAAATAAAATGTGATCTGTGCATTAAAATATTGACTTTCTCATTATTTTCTTATTTCAACTCAGATTTCTGGATAGGCAGGACAATGTCTTAAAGGATTAATGATGACCTTATTGCGTCTTTCCAGTCAAGTTTTTGATTAAGAAGGTCAGAAAATAAATAAAAATTAGAAACAGCCTGAATAATTGGAAATATGTTACATTATGGCATAGACCTATAAAAGTCTATGAGGCCATTAAAAATCAACTGGTACAAAAAGATTTAATGGCACAGAAAGATGTTTATATATTGCTAAACAAACAAAAGATGCATTACACGATCATAGCAGCTATTATGCTAAGAGACTCCTTCAGCAAAGCTTGTTGGTCAGGGATGGAGAGGCCAGATATTCAACATTTTGTTTTGTTCATAGGGAAACAGAAGCCTTGAGAAGGGTTGGGACTTTCTCAAAGTAACAGAATGAGTCAGTGGCACTTTTGAGCCTATAACCCTGTACTCCTCTTCCTAGAAGTACACACTGTTTTCTAACCTGGGTTACACAAAACATTTCTCCTAATGTTACTAGTAGCCCCTGTTCCCAATGAAAGAAGCTTCAGATTTCTAGTTCTTTTTTCCCCTGACATCTGCAAGCAAGCCTATTACACAGGAGGTAACCCACTTTAAAACACCAGCTTATTTGTACTCACCAGTCTAAGTCTGTTTTATGTTGTTATAACAAAATAGCTGAAACTAGGTAACTTGCAAATAAAAGAGGTTTATTTTAGCTCACAGTTCTAGAAGTTCGAGAGCATGGTTCCAGCATCTGCTTGGCTTTGGTGAGGGCCTTATGTCAGTGGTGTTACATAATGGGAACATATGCAGGAGTGGAAAGTGGTACAGGCCATGCAGAAGAGGGATTCAAGGAAGTTCCAGGCTTTCTTATAACAAACTATCCTTGCAGAAACTATCCATTCCCAGTAAACATATTTCTTTTTGTTATTTTGTAAAGTGGAAAAAAAAAGCATGTTAGAGTCTGTTATTTTTTTTTGTTCTCTCAAAAAATTGTAAAATATACAAAAGTACTGGCTACGGTAATGCCTGGGGTTATATTTTATTTATTATTTATTTATTTATTTATTTATTTTTATTATTTTTTTTTTGGTTATATTTTATTTTTATTTCTCCTTTGTGTCTTCCTGTATTTTTGAATTTTTATTTTTTATTTATTTTATTTTATTTTATTTTTTGGTACCAGGGATTGAACTCGGGTCTTTATGCTTGCGCATCAGGAGATGAAACCACTGAGCTAAATCCCCAGCCTAAAAACAACATTTTTTTTTTTTTTTTGGTACCGGGGATCAAACTCGGGTCCTTGCGCTTGCGCAGCAGGTGAGCTAAATCCCTGGCCCTTGAATTTTTATTGAGAATATATAAGACTTATAGAAATGAAATAGTGGCCACCAAGGATGTGCCAGGCAGCATTAGAAGGCCTAGGGAACAACCTTGGTAGCTCTTTACCCTCATGAACCTCACCATATGGTGGAGAAGACAGCCAATACCACGTGGCAACAAAATCAAACAAGATAACTTTTGATAATGTAATAAATGTAATAATGTAGATGGAATGATATGATAGGCAAGAACTAGGGGCAGGCTACCTGGGGGTTATTTGGGTTAAGATAACCAGAGAAGACCAACATAACCAGAAACCTTGCAGTGGAGAAGACAGCTTGTAGAGAGTTGAAAAAAAAGTATTTGGATAGGGTGTACACATCAGTCACAGTGGGAGTGTTTGGAGAAATTCAGGATGCTATGGGCTGTTAGATCCAGGTGGAGGCACTCTTTTTTTTTCCTCTTTTTAAAAATAATGTCTAAATCATGGTTTGTTCATTCAATGGAATACTATAGAGCAACAAGAATGAATGAACTACTGCTGCGCATAACAATAGAGATTAGTCAGAAACATAATGTTGAATTTAAAATCTGGTAAAACTAATCTTCAGGGTTAGAGGTCACAGTGAATACCATTGGGCAGGGGGCACCTTTGTACTTAGTGCTGAAGGATGGGTGCAGTGCCCCAAGAATTTATTATATGCTACAACAAAGGAAGTAATCTAATTTCCAATAAAGCACATTTACAAAGTTCCAAGTTCCAGCAACTGTGTTTACAATGTAGAGATGTCCCAGAAGCTAAAGGAAGAAAAGTGCTCTTTTCTACCTCCTTGGAGTGTGGGAAGGGCATGTCAATGAACACTGAGATTCACTAGAGTTGATGGTCTGTGGACCATTATGTGCATTTCTGACAGACAATCAAAGAAGGAACAGGGTTAAGCCAGAAAAGGCACATTAAAGCACCAAAGAAAGATCAAGCAGGTTGAAGGAAGCAAGATCTTTTAAAGGTAAGGCTCTATGGAAAGGATTGAAACTAAAATGTTAACTAGAGGTCACCTCTGAGCAGCAGGATTGTGGGTGATTTTAATTGTCTTTTTAGTGTTGTTTTCTGGAGCCAACATCTATTATTTTTGTAATAAAAGAAAGGTGCATTGTTTTTATAGGGTCCCTTAAAATCCTAAAATTAGAAAGTCAAGTGAAATCTAAAGCTGAGAATGACTTTTGTGCAGAGATTGTGAAATCAGAGCCCATAGATGCCAGACCCATAACAGGAGGGAAGTGGGCCTCTGAACTGTGGCCCTGCAAACTGAAAGCCCATATAGAGGAAGCTTTGAGGAAGGGGAACTGGAATTGTGGGGCCAAAGAGAAGGATTAGAAGGCCAGCAGGCCGTCACTTCTCGGTTCCAGCCATTTCTGCCATGGAGGAATGTGGACAGAATAGTTAGATCTGAATCTCTGAGAGACCCAAACAATCTCCTAAGCAGTAAATGTTAGGTATCTATATCAAAAGTTTGAGAAAACTGCCACAGAGGGCAGAGAGAACACGTCTATAGGTAGGAGGTCATCATGCTGCCTGTTGCAAACTCCACTTGAGTGGTGTTTAAGTCCACTGCCTTCTCTGTGCAGAAATCTCCTCTCAGCTCTTAAGAAGACCAAGGTGACAGGGAACGCACATTCTCCTACCCTGGGCTCAACAGCATCTGGAACACACTGATCCTCATAATCCTTTTTCTCAGGAAATATTAAAGACTTAATCTCCCAAGCTCTCTCCTGCTTCTATGTGGCCTTCTCAAAGAGACTGACAGGCAAAGCCCAGGGAAGTCCAGACTGTAGCAGTGCATTCTGCCACAGTGCAGCAGTGCAACTGCTACAGACTGCCTCAGAAGGCCTCAATCTTAGCTTCTCCATGGAAGCAGCCAGAGGGATTCTCAGCCATGGGTGAGGTGACAGCAGAGGAAGTAGAAAAGTTTCTGGACTCAAATATTGGCTTTGCCAAAGAGTACTACAATCTCCACTACCGGGCCAAGGTTATCTCAGACCTTCTTGGAGCCAAGGAGGCAGCTGTGGACTTTAGCAACTACCACTCACTGAGCAGTGTGGAAGAGAGTGAAATCATCTTTGATCTCCTACGGGACTTCCAGGAGAATTTACAGACAGAGAAGTGCATCTTCAATGTCATGAAGAAGCTGTGCTTCCTCCTGCAGGCAGACCGCATGAGCTTGTTCATGTACAGGACCCGCAATGGTGTCGCAGAGCTAGCTACACGCCTCTTCAATGTCCACAAAGATGCTGTCCTTGAAGACTGCCTGGTGATGCCTGACTCAGAGATTGTCTTCCCTCTGGACATGGGTGTCGTGGGACGTGTTGCACACTCTAAAAAGCTTGCCAATGTCCCCAACACAGAAGAGGTACTCTCTTCCCCTTAAAAGAGGGCAGTGAGGCATTATTCCCTGGGGCTCTGGGGTGCAAGTGGGCTGGGGAGCTGCCTGTCTCTAAGACTAGGCTGGTGATGACAAGGAACTTCTCTTTATTTATTTACTTATAACTTTTTGTTTTGAAGAAAATTCAAACTTAGCAGAGGAATTTTAAAATAATACAAAGGACTAAATTTCATCCAAATTCACCAATCATTAACATCTTGCCACCTTTGTTTCCTCTCTCCATTTTTCTGACTTATTTGGGAGGAACTTACAGATGTCACGACCTTTTGGCCCTAAATATTTCACTCTGTGTTTTGTTTTGTTTTTTTTGAAATAGGATCTTGGCTGTGCGTGTAGTTCAAACTGGCCTTGAACTCACTATGTAGGCAAGGTTGGCCTTGAACTTGTGGTGATCCTCCTGCCTCAGCCTCCTGAGTGCTGGGATCACAGGTTTGGAAACTAGGACATTTCTTACCAATCTGTAGTATAATGACTGAATTCAGGAAATGTAATGTTGATATAGCACTGTGATCTAATAAGCAGTTCATATTAAATTTTTGCCATTGTTTTAACTACACCTATGCAGTCTTTTCTGTTCAGTTTATTTACTTGAATCTGAAACAGTTGCTCAATCTGTGTTTTCCATGAAGCTGATGGGTTTGAGGGGTACAGATCAAGTATTTTGCAGAAATATACTTCCATTTAGGCTTGTTTGATGTTTCTGCATGGTTGTATTCAGGTTGTGCATTCCTGGCAAAAATATTACTAAAGTGATACTGGTTTTCTTCATACTTTACATGATAAGATCTGATGGTTTACTGTCCCATTACTATAAAAGGTAACATTGATCACTTGGTTAAGCACTTGGTCTTCTAAGAGTCTACTGGCCCATGGGTTTCTACCAGCAGTTCTGACAAACACCTCTTTGATCACCATGGGCAAAACATTTCCCCTTTCAGACATTAACTTTTGTTTGTTTGTTGTTTGTTTTGTTTTTTTTTTAAAGATAGGGTCTCACTATGTAGTTCAAGCTGGCCTTGAACTCTGGCCAATCCTCTTGGCTCCCAAAGCACTGGGATTATAGGAGTGTGTCACCACACCTGACTTTGGACATTAACTTTTAAAGGCTACAGTGCAATTGCCCATATAGTCCTCTGCCTGGGCCAATCCCTAGTTATCCTTCAGATCTCTGCTTAAAAGTCAGGGAAGTCTTCTTGGATCTTCCCATTATAGACCCTTTCCTGAAATCATTTATCACAGTAAACCCTGGAGTCAGGGGTCAAGTCTGCCTTATTCACCAGTTATCCCAAGATCCTGCACAGTGTCTGGCACAAAGCAAGTGGTCAGTAAATAAAGCATAGAAGACTTACAGTCAAGTAACTACACAATAATTTAACTCCAGTCTCACCTAAAAGAATATTTACCCCATAATAGCAGACTCATCTGCGTCATATTTACTGCTGCTGGCCAAACAAGGAGGGTGTGTTCAGCCATTTCCAAGATCTAGCCCTGAGACTCTATGACTTTCTCTTTACCTTACCCCTGGCCTAATTTCAGATTAAGTGTCTGAGGTCAAAAGGAGAGGACAGAGGGGCTTCAGAGATCATTTTAACCAACTGCCTTATTAAATTGTGTTTTTTTGGTACCAGGGATTGGACTCGGGACCTTGTGCTTGTGAGGCAGGCAGCAGCACCACTGAGCTAAATCCCCAGCCCTGCCTTATTAAATTGTTAAGGAAACTGGACCCAGGGCACTTTGAGAAGGGGTCTACCCAAGGTCACCAAAGAGTTAGGGCCAAGACAGGACTTCACACCTACTACTTCAGGAATTCAAATGAGTCATCAAACCCAGACTTGGGCCTCTGTGGGAAACACAGTGGGTGGCCTCCCCATGGAGTTAATATCAGCTTCTTCTTCCCTTGCTCCCCCTTGGCAATGCTCTCCACTCAGGACGCGTTAAGGAGGACTCTTCTTGTTATGCTGGAGTTTGTTCTTCCTTCGGTTCTCTCTAGACTATAGCCATAATCATATGCATTGTCTCACTTGTTTTACCTTCATAAAAATCTTGTAATAACTTATTATCTTTGTCTTACCGATGATGAAATTGAAAGCCAAGAAGGTTGAATCACTTGCTCAGGGTCACACAAATAGAAAGTAGCAGGCAGGGAATTCTAATCTAGGGACTCTGGATTTGAGCCCTTTGCTATTCTGTACTTCTTCCTTATCTATAAAGTGAGAGCAAGGAACTAAGAGTTATTTAAGAAAGGTCATTTCTAGTCATATGCCAGAGAACTAAGATCTTACACTTTGAGATCAGATCTAGGTGTGAATTCTGGCACTTTCTAAGAATACAGCCTTTGAAAATCATTTAGCCTGTTTGAACTCATTTTCTAATATATAAAGCAGTCATAACAGCTACCTCACAGCAGTGTAAGGATTAAACAAGGAGAGTATTTCTCATTCAGCACTGTTCTTAGCATATTAGAATGGCTCACTTTGGCAGTTACTATTTATTTTTATTATGATTATTTTGTTGTTGCTGTTGAGTGTCTATTCTAAGTGATGGATGCTGTACCAGGTTTGTGCAGAAAAGGGAGAAGAATCTGGCCTTGCCTTTCTGGAGCTTTTGGTTTAGATTCTGTCTGTGGGAAAACAGAACAAAGGTTCTGTAGACCTTGGCATTATGAGATTGAGGATTTAGGAAGGTTGTCTTATTTCAAAAGATTCAGGCCCAACAGTTGGCTGAACTTCTGCGAATGGACTGTTGCTTCCTGCTTAACCTACAAAGTTCACCCTGGAGGCCAAACCTGTATTCCCCTGGAAGATACTGGGCCTGGGGCAATCTACATGGTTGTGATTCAGGCCTGGGGGTGAAATAAGTCCAGGCCAACAAGCCTTTCTTGCGTACTCAGTATTTGCAAGCTATTTGCTTCTGTCCTCCTTGGGGAATCTTACTCAGTTTTTGGCTAAGGGAAGGACACAGTCTTGACCGCCAAATAGTCACTAGAATTTGAATGGAGGAAGGAGATGGTATGGATTGGGGTCTAGGTTGTCCCTGCCCCATTAACAAGTGAAAAATAGTCCACAAAAACTGGAGAAATAGTTATAGTCACTGCATTTCTGAAATGTGAAACCATAAATAGAGTTTTCCAGAGCTCTAATGTACCTCCCACCACTGGCAGATTCCCTTCTTTCTTGGGATCACTCTAGGAAGATTAGAGTGATTAGAACTGCCAGATAAAATGTAAGATGCCCAGTTAAGTTGGAATTTTAGATAAACAAAGAATAGTATTTTAGTTTAAACATGTCCCATACAATATTTGACATACAATTAAAATTATTTACTCTTTACTTGAAATTCTAATTTAACAGGGCATCCTATATTTTTATTTATTAAATCTGCCAAGCCTCATTGCCATTCAATATTTGTTTGCATTAATCTTAGCCCTTTCTCCTACCAGGAAAGCTGTGAGGCTGTCTGTCCCTGTCTTACTCACCACTGGTTCCTGGCACCTAGTCCAGTAACTGGGACAGTGTGGGTATTCATTGCAGTTGGCCGAGTGAGGAAAGGAATAAATGACAGCCCTTCTCCAACACTTGCTTCACCCAACCAGCCCCATTTCTGAAGGCTGAACCTGAGAGCACTGTCATCCTACTGACTGTCATATCTAGTCTGCCTCTGCTGTCCTTCCCTTCTTGGAGACCTGGGACTCAGAACACTACAAAAGAGAGAAACCTCAAGAGAGACTTGATTGATCACTCTGATTTTACCAAAGGGGAAACTGAGGCTCAGAGAGGTTTTAGTTTCTGATGATGTACTGAGTAGTCCCTAAAGCCAATCAAAGGCCGCTATCTCTGGGGCCCCAGGTTATATCACTCATTTTGTGGAGACCTGCTTTACGTTAGGGTTTGAATTGTGAGCTCATGGTTTCCATGAACTCCTGCTATACTATGAGGACCAAATAAGAGCAAACTCATTTTATGTTCTTGGCACGGAGCCAGGTCTCAATGAACATAAAAGAGAAAGAGGACAGTTTTGAGCGACTCATATGAGATAATGAGAAACTATGTAAATTGTCTGGGTCTTGGCCTAGTACTTCATTATTATTCAATAAATATATCTCATTGTTGCATCCAGGGGACGAGCACTGGTGTTCTGTCCAAGCAGCCCACCGGGATCATAAGCTCAACCCCAGTAAAAAGTAAGAGGGACAAAGTTTAGTGAAAGGAAGACACTTTATTTGTAATGAGGGAAAGGAAGGGGGGAGATAGCTAACCTAGTGAGAAAGACTCAGGGTAGGGGGGCTCTGGAAAGAGGGAAGACCCTGGGCCCTGTGTTCCTGGCTGTATTTATAGGGACCCTGCCATGTTTTTATAGAGACCCTTCCCCTCAACCTGAAGCTGGATTGGCTTCTGTGTACCTCTGCCTAACATCATGTTTTTTGGTGGCCTGTGCACAGCTTCTTTCTGTCTGTTTACTTGTCCTTGATCTACTTTTTAAGGCCTTACCTTTGGGGTGGGTGGCTAGCTGGCAAGGGGGTGTCTTATTTATGGTTAGCTTAGAGTTAGTAAAGGCGAGTGTGGATGTCCATTGTACTCTATAATTATATGATGAAATAATGACCCTAGAGTGAATACATATGCGTGTGAACATATATATATGTGTGTGTGTGTGTATGTATATGTTAGTGTGTATGTGTATGAGCACATTTTTTTTTTTGAGACAGTCTCCCTATGTAGTTCAGACTGGCCTTGAACTCACTATGTAGTCTAGGTTGTCCTCAAACTCACAAGGATCCTCCTGCCTCAGCCTGCTGAGTGCTGGAATTACAGGTGTACACCACCCCACCCAGCTTGTATAAGAGCTTTTTTCAAAGTTAGCCCCTTCCCCTTGTGTCTCCTCTATATAGTATTGAAGGTGGAGAGGGATAGCTACCTCAGCTTGGCTTTGTGCACTGGGCTCTGTACTCTGTCAGCTCTTTCTCTCTCTGGTCTCTTGGTTCAAGTCCCAAGGCCATTTGGTGCCTTTTTCATCTGTTTCTCTCTCTCTCTCTCTCTCTCTTTCTCTATTCCCATCCTTGACCTATGTCCCAGAGGAATGTCTCTAGTAAAGTTTGTTTTTAACTCCTTCTAGTCAGGATTAGCTAGAACATCTAAAGAGGCCCCTATTTTATTTGTTCCCTGTCTACATACCCCTGACCCTACATCATCAGTAGGGTACAGTAGAGCTTGGCACTGTGAAGGTCTGAAAAGGGGAATTGGGGAATCAGGTATGAGAAGCATATTGCATTGTACTCTAAAATCTAAACTCTTTCCCGTGGCCTCAAAGCCCTACTGGTTCAAGCCCCTGCCTGCCTTTCTCACTTCTTTGCCCTCTACTCTCCCTCCCTCTCTCTATGCTTCAGCCACACTGATCTTTCTGTGCCTCAGACCTCTCAAGCTCATTCACTTGTGTTCTCTGTGCCCCTGCTTGGATTGTACTTCCCATACCTGACTCCTTTGATCCTTCTGTTCTCAGCTCAGTATTATGTCCTCAGAGGAGCCTCCCTGACCACCATGACTAACTAAGCCCACCATCCCTTCCATTGCTGTCTTCACCTAGCTTATCTCCTTCAAGGCAGTTATTGCAAGCTGGAAAGAGAAGGCTGAGCTGTTACTTGCTCCCCCTTTAAATGTAAGTTTTACTAGAGCAAGAAGTCATCCCTCTTGTTCCCTGCTCAGGGTCCAGAGCAGTGCCTCCTATAGAGTAGGCACTCTGTTAATGCTGGCTAAACGAATGAATGACTTTGGGCTTTCCCTAACTGGGTCTCTGATTCCTAGGCTTTAAAATAAATAATTTGAGTTAACTGGCTTCTAACTCTTCTGCCTCTAATTATCCGAGGTTCTGTAACAGGGTTGTTTAGAGCATCTAATGCTGAAAACATAGGTATGACAATGATTAGGTACATACCAGTTAATAGGTGGCTGGAGTGCTTGTAAGAGAGTTCTAGGGCTGAGAACTCAGGGGGAAAGAGGGTTTTGATAGACTTAGAAATATTTGCCTCAGCTGCAGGTAAGGCCCAAGTATTTGCTTTCCCTAAAAGAAGTGAACAGTATTAAATTGGACTGACTAGATAAATGTATCTGAGCATGGCCCACCCCAACCTGTGCTCAAGAGTTCATCAGTGTCCTTAGAGAATGACACAATTCTTTTTGGCTAAAGCCTCCTTAGAGATTTTGCTTAATCCTCAAGTGCTAATGCAAATAGAAGCATCTCTTAATTCCTTTACCCTTCACCTGGCTTGAAACAACTTTGCTGACAATAATGCTGTTGCCTATTTATTTAATTCCCTTGTAACTGTAAGAAATCCCAAAACACAGAGCAATAACACTCAGAATTTCTGAATCATGGGAAAGATTCTGCAGACCTAGTTTCAGGAAAGTTCTGGAATTGATTCTTGAATTTATTTTATGATATATATTTCCATTCTCAGAACAGCATGCACTGTGCATGCTTGGGCTGGCTCAAGTCTCAAGCAATGCAGATAATGAGGAAACTCACTATGGCACCAGGAAACATAAAGGTGGATTTTTCCAATTTAAGATAACAATCCAAGATCTGCCTCCTCATTCTGACCACACAGACTGCACTGCAGCCAATACTGGCCTCTCAGGCTGCCTTCAGGATGAGGTGTGAGGGAGTATGCTTCTCTGTATTCCCACAGCTTTGAGCCAAGCCCTTATTCCTGTGTTAGTAATATGGATCTATCTGTGAGTGGCTTGAATCTTAGTCACCCATGGCCTCAATGTTTGATATAGGCCTTACATAGAGGGGGGCTTCCACTGAGATTTATGGAATGAGGGTAACCATTGGACTGGCTGTATAGTGCTAGAAATGGATTCTTAGAAAAGCTGAAAATGATAAATCCCTTTGTTCCATGGCCTGATCCTAGTCTAACCTTATCCAGGCTTCTGAGAAGCAGTAGAGCTGAGGACAAATTCTGAAGTCATGCACACTCATGAGTAATATTAACCTTGAATTAGAGTTCACCCTTATGTAAAATAGACTAATGGTGCCATCCCATAGGTTCTTAGGAGGATTAAAATGCAGTGATGCTGCTAAAGTGCCATGCACAGCATCTATCAGCTGTTATCACTATTGTATTCATGAAGGTGTTTCCCCAATTCCCTCATAGTTCTCACTCAAGTTTCCATTCTGGGTTTAATTGTCATGACCTCAAGAAAGCCTTCTTTAAACCTCTCTCTTCAGTCATCATCCCTGGGCCCCCACAATGCTTTGCACACACTTCCATGGTCCTTAGTGGGTTGCATCTCAGACCTTCTTCTACTGGATTTTGGAGACTTCCATGGCACAAGCTTTTTCTGCTTGCCCAGCCCTTGCTGAGGGGGTGTAGTTGGAAATGCCTTCATTCCCTTGTCAGCAAGGGGCTCTGGGTTGTTTTATTGTTCCTCTTAATCTGCCTAACCATGCTTGTCTCTGCCTTCCTTCAGGATGAGCATTTTTGTGACTTTGTGGACAGCCTCACAGAGTACCAGACAAAGAACATCTTGGCTACTCCCATAATGAATGGGAAAGACATAGTGGCCATAATCATGGCTGTGAATAAAGTAGAGGGATCCCACTTCACCACGACAGATGAAGAGGTAAGTCTGCTACAGAAAATGCTAGGGTGGCTATGCTAGCACATTCTTCTAGCTCATGAAGTCCCCTGAAGCTTGCTGTTTAGCCTGGCCTCAGTTCCCCCATCTGTAAGATGGGGGTCTGTGTGATTCTCATTGAAGGAGGTGGGACAAAATAATGTTTCAAACAGTGGGTTTTGGAGTCAGGAATGGAGAGTTAATTGTTCTGCCTCTTCTAATCTCTAGTTGTTTGACTTGGGCAAGTCACTGAAGATCTCAAAGCTTGTTTTCTTATTTGTAAAATGGGGATGATTTTACAGCGTCCCCCTCAGAGTGTACTTGTGATTACTAGCTCATATATTTAAGTGACAGACACAGCAAGTTCAATACAGACACCCTTCATTTACTGACCATTATGGTCGGAAGTCCAATAGTCTTAACCAAGTGGGTTGTTAAATGAGGAATATCTATAAATAGTAGCTCCTTAAAAATTAATACAACCCATGAATACATCAACATTCTACATTCTCCGAGTTTTATACTCAATGCAACATGTTATGAGTTTACATTCTATAATCCATGCATTCAAATTGCCTCTGATGAAGCTTTTTAAACTATCAGACATTTGCTGATGGTAAAAGTGGCCAGAGGAAGGATTTTTCCTCCTCATCTGCTTTCATTTTATTTGATTTTTAGATTCTTCTCAAGTACCTCAATTTTGCAAATCTAATCATGAAGGTGTTCCACCTGAGTTACCTTCACAACTGTGAGACTCGACGTGGCCAGGTAAGGAGCTTGGCTCAAGGAATGAACTGGGCATGCCCTTTTACTAAAGAACTGATGGACTGGGGGCTGGCAGGGCAGATGGTAATGCAGAGGCCTGGAAACCATATAATAGTCTCTGCCTAGTATCCCTAATGTTATGAGGTAGTGGATGTTTGTAAAGCTGTGTCTCTGAGTGTTATATGCAGAGTTTTCGAGGCAGGTGGCTTAGATTTGAATATCTGCTCATTGAGTAGCTCTTAGACCCTGAGCAAGTCACTTATTCTCTCTAAGCTTTAGTTTCCCCATTTGAAAAATGAAGATAATTGTGATATCACCCTCAAGTATTACTATCAGTAGTAAATGAGATAATGTATGTAGAGCACTTAAGCTCAATTAATGTTACTTATTTATTTCTGTGATACTGGGCATTGAACCCAGGGCCTTGTAAATAAGGTAGACAAGCTCTCTGCCACTGGGCTACAACCTCAGCCTCTTTGTTATTATCATCATCATCATCATTATTATTATTATTATTATTACTATTATTAACAGCCTCTGAGATAAAAAGTGGAAAGATTTAGACCCCATGTAAACTGGTTAATTACTTCACCTAAGCCTCTTTCTCCATCTATACAATTGGGATAATTATCCCATATATTTCTATTCATTATGTGAGAGTTAAGTAAAATAAACTCTAGGTAACTCTACTATTCTCTAACTGAGTGAGCTACTGCTTTGTGTCTTAAGAACTCTGAACATGTTTCTGTGTTTCTTCAGATCCTGCTGTGGTCTGGCAGCAAAGTCTTTGAAGAGCTTACGGATATTCAGAGACAGTTCCATAAAGTCCTGTACACAGTCCGTGCCTTCCTCAACTGTGACAGATATTCCGTGGGTCTCCTAGATATGTCTAAGCAGAAGGTGAGGAAAACCTAAAGGACAGACAACCAAGGGTCAGCAGACTTACTGAATAGAATGCAGTGGCACAGGGAAGAGGTTGGGAAAATTTGGATGATAGTATAAAGTTTTACACAGATGTTTACTGAAGAGAGGTATACCAGTTTTTACAGGGGAAAGTACATCTGGAGCAGTGGTAAGGAAAAATAATCTACACATTCTTTTGGTCTTTTGGAAAAGAAAGAAGTGGAAGAAGGCTAGGAGGTAGTAAAGGTAAGTGATAAAGAAGTCTCTGTATAAGTTGAAAGTCCAGAAGAAAGTTGCCAACTTCACAGGAATGCACAGAAAATTTACTAAAAGTTGGGCATAAAACTTTCCTATGGTTTGTCTTGCTCAGGACTCAGTGAAGTGGAGACAGGTTCTTTATCAGGTCCTTCAGAATGGTCAGGGGCCAGATTACAGCCGGTATGGCAGCTAAGGAGGCAGAATCCATGTAGCTCAGGAATATGTTTCTATGTTTTCCCAAACAAATTCCCCTAGTTCTCTTTTTTTAATTCATCTTTTCCTTGTGGGGCTGATCACTTTCTGCCTTGGAACAGAGATTTTTGAGTATCTAGATTTATCATTTCTTATCCAAAGAACGAAGGTACCGGACTCTTGTCATTTTCATTTTGTATGTCTTGTTATGCTGAGTGTGGTACACAGACCAATGCAAACTCTCCAATGTTGAGTGAAGTGCATTGCAGAATCTGGGGCTGAAAAAGACCTTAGTTGTCCAAAGCCCCCTAGCCTTGGCATTTCATGAAAATCTTCTGAGGAACTGATTAAAAATTGTTGGGCCACATTTTCTCATGGTTTGCATTTTTTGCTTAATGTTTTATAATCATCTTTCCATATCCACACACACATTATTTTTAATAATAATAGTAATTTATAATTATATAAGGTTTAATAAACCTTTATATAGAAGCATAATATAACAGACACAGAAAGGACTCTAATTATAGAAATATTGTCATTCAATAAATTATCACAGAGTGGACATTCCACATCACCATCTCCAAAATTAAGAAACAGAACATTACCTGCCCCTCCAGTAGCCCATTTCATACCCTCTCCAGTACCTCACACAGCCTCCTTCTGATGGTAACCACCATTAGATCTTTAACACCACATTAGTTTTGCCTATTTTGAGGTGCACATAAATAAGATCATATAGGACATGGTCTTGGGCCGGGGATTTGGTGGTGCTGCCATCTGCCTTGCAAATCCAAGGGCCTGAGTTCAATCCCAGGTACAAAAAAAAAAAAAAAAAAGACATGGTCTGTATCTAGCTTCTTTTGCTTAGTATTTTGCTAGTAAGATTCATCCTTGTAAGATCCATGCTCTATATAGCATTAATTCATTCATTTTCATTCTTGTGGAATGTTCCATTATATGAATAATCTACACTTATTATTTCTATTGTTGACGAACATTCAAATTTTCAGATTTGGTTTACAATGGATATTGTTCTTAGGAACATGCTAGTACATATCTTTTAGTAAATAGTGATACCTATTTCTGTTAGATGTTTACTTAGAATTAGAAATTTTTGGGGTAATAGCTTTAATAGTGATCGCCCATCTGATTTTCAAAACAATTGTGGCATTTGTACTCTCACCACCAAATATATAGGGATTTCTCACAAATACTTGGTATTGTCATTCATATATTCTCACCCATTCAAATGAGTATGTGGTGTTACCTCTTCTAGTATTAACATCCATCCCCTGATGACTGATGAGGTTGAACTTTTTTTCATATGTTTATTGGCAACTTGAATATCTTCTTTTCTCCATTTCTTATTGTGTTGTCTTTTTATCCTATTGATTTATAGGAGTTCTTTATAAATTCTGGACACATCTTCTGTTGATATATACACTGCAAATATCTTTTCTAATTCTGTGCTTTCATTCTCTTAATACTGTAATGTGTTTTTATGACTGTAAGTTCTGAATAATGATATTGTCCTACTTATCAATCTTTACAGTTATTGGTTTTTGTTCCCTACTTAGACATCTTTCCTGGATCCAAGTTCATAAAGCTATTTATCTATAGCAACTTGCAAAGGTTTTATTGTTTTAACTTTTTCTTGTAGTTCTCTACTACCTACCTAATTTTTTATGTATATTGCAAGGCAAGGTAAATATTAATTTTTTCCGTGCGGACATCCAGCTGACCTAGTACCTTTTATGGAAAAGCCCATCTTTCCGTTTTGTGCCTTTATCATCAATCAAATGTGGGTGGGTTTGTTTCTGGATTGTCTCTTTTGTCCCATTGGTATATTTATCAAGTGTTCTGCAATATCATACTATCTTGGTTTCAGTATGTTAATAAAATATCTTGATACCCAGTTATAAAGGGACCTCTAAATTTGTTGTTACATGTCATTGTTTTTCACTATGTTTTATGTATCTTGTATTCTTTCTGTATATTCCATCCTTTCAAATTTTTTCTTCGGGTTGAATATTTCTGATCTATCTTCCATAATTACTAATTCTTTCTTCAGTTTAGCTATTAAAATATATATTAAACTCTTAATTTCAGGTATTTTACTTTTTAAAATTTATTTTATTTTTCATGCACATAGCAGGCAAATGGTCTATTATTGAGTTATACTTCCCAGCTCTTAGTTATCTTTCAATTTTAGAATTTCCATTTTATTCTTTTCTTTTAATTTCCAGTTCTTTGTTAAAATTCTTCTCTCTGTCTCTGTCTGTCTCTGTTTCTGTCTCTGTCTCTGTCTCTCTCTCTCTCTCTCTCTCTCTCTCGATTTGTGGTCTTGGGGCTCAAGCCTCATGGATGCTAAGCAAGTACTCTACCACTGAGCTCTATTCCAAGCTCTCTGTTTTGCATTTAATCTCTTGGACATAATCACAGTTATTTTAGTCTGGCCCTGAGAACAATATCTGTAAATATCTTCTATGTGTCTGTTTCTATGTTCTGTTTTCCCTCCTGATTTTTTAGTTAATTCTTATCTTTCACATCTTTCTTATTTTTGTTTGATATTAGAGATATGTGAGCAATTATAGAGATAATTTAATAGTATTTTCCTCCAAAGTGGATTATTTTACTTCTGTCTGGCAAACAGTTGGGGTAAAGAGGGTGCACCTTAATTCACTTGGAGACCAAACTGATTATGGAGCCTGTCTTCAGCCTTTTTGAGGGCTAATCTACTTCTGGTTCACTTTTACTCCAAAGATATAACCTTTTTCATGGGGGTGTGGATCCTAACCTAGGGTTTTGTTTGTTTGTTTTTTGTTTGTTTCTTGAGACAGGGTCTCACTATACTGATCAAGTTGGCCTTGAACTCACTATATAGCCCAGGCTGGCCTTGAATTCATGGTGATCCTCTTGCCTCAACTTCCCAAGTACTGGGATTACAGGTGTAATCCACACCTTCCCCAACCTAGCATAATTTTAAGGATGCCTCTCCCTTGGCAGAGCCTGAATTCTAATCTTGTCCTTGCCCAGTATGTCATGTGTAAGCTTTGCTCAGCTTCTTTGCTACTCACCAGCATCTTTGGCATCAGTATGTAAGTTAAGAAAAGCTGAATCTTATGTCAGGCTCACACCTCTGAGTTTTTCCTATTTCTAGAATCTTTGTCCATTACGTCTTTATTGTCTTGTTGGAGCTTCTAATAAGTGTTTATACATATACAGATAGACAGTCTGTGGAAGTTTGGTCTGGAACAAGCTAGTCACCATTTACTTTCTCTGTTTTGTAGTCCTACTAATTTATCTGACTTTTGAATAGAATGAATATGTCATAATTAATTTAGCCTTTCTCCTATTGCTGGCATTAAAAGCATGTATAAATATTCTTGCAAGTAAAGATAATGCTGCAATAACAACCTTGGGGTTGAGTATTTATACACTTAAGTGAAAACATTTATAGACTAGAGTTGTAGAAAGGTAATTACTAATTTTTATTTTGGTTTTCTCAAAATTTTTATATTTATTTTTCCTTTAAACTAAGGGCTTTACAGTGTTACACTCTCATACTGTATGAGAGTTTTATTTCCCAAAACTCTTACGATTCTTTTTTTTTTTTTTTTTTTT